TGAAATGTGTATGTACTCTACATACTATTGTCTTTTCTGACAAAAGCACAAAGGATCAAGAAAAGTTTAGAGAAACATCACATTTGTGACAAAAGAAAACAATGCATTATTTACATGTAGTATGAACACATATGATTTGTTAACTATGTCATGTTTACAGACATAAAACCAAGATGATGTAATTTCAAAATTAAAAGTTGTGTTTTTAAATAAAGGAAGTTGTGAATTGAATGTGCATTGTTGTTGAAAAATCCCACCCCAGAAGTGGCTGTCATTCAAAGTCTATGAAAATTTAATGTATAACATGGAAAAATCTTTTGGAATCCTTCAGAAAATAATAATAATAATAGGACTGTAAGGATCTTCAAGAGGTCATTTAGTCCAGTCCCCTGAATTCATGGCAGGCTATTATCAGGAAGATCCCTGACAGATGTATGTGACTAGCCTTCTTTTTAAAATCTCCAATGATAAAGATTCCACAACTTCTTTGGAAGTTTATTGCAGTACTTAACTATTGGACAGTTCCAAAATTTTTCCTAATGTCCAAACTCAACCACCCTTGCTACAAAATAAGCTTATAACTTCTGAGGATAGGGCAAGAAGCAGAGGAGACAAATGTTATTCCGTTCTTTGTGTAACAAGTTTTTATGGACTTAAAAACTGATATTAAATCTCCTCTCTTCCAGATTAAACAAACCCATTTTTTTTTTCAAATCTTCCCTCGTAGGTCATGTTTCCTAGATCTTTTCATCTTTTGTTGCTCTTCTGTGAATGTTTTCCAATTTGTCAACATCTTTCTTGAAATATGTCGCCCAGAATTTAATACAATACTCTGGTCGAGGACTAATCAGCACAGAGTAGACTGGAAGAAATCCTTCTCATGTCTTGTGTACAAAACTCTTGCTAATACATCCCTTACAATGCTTACCTTCTCGCAGCACTGTTGATTTATATGTAGCTTGTGGTCCACTATGACACCCCCTTTCTCAAATCCCTTTCTGCAGTATTTTTCTCGGGTAGTCATTTCCTATTTTGTATGTATGCAACTGATTCTTCCAGAAGGACAGACAGATCATTACACAGTGGAGTACTTTTCATTTTACCTTATTGAATTTGATTCTTTTTACTTCAGACCAGTTCGTCCAGATCATGTTGAATTTTAATACTATCCTTCAAAGCACTTGCAACTGCTCCTTCCTTGGTGGTATCCTCAAATTTTAATTGCAAACTATGTAATTATATAAATCAGTGATAAAGATATTGCACAGAAAGGGACCCAGAACTGATCCCTTTAGGATCCAATTTGATATATCTTTCCAGCTTGATTACATACATGTACGTTATTTTATTTACTGTTCTGACTTGGAGGTCCATGTATGTGCATCAAGGCAAATCAATACATATCCAATGAGTATTTTTCTTCCAATATAGCATTTTTTTCTTTGTATTCTTTTGACAACTTTTAAAACGAAGCATTATCAGTCTCTTGCAAATCTATACAATACAGATGTGGTTATAATTACAAGCATCATTTGGATTGTTTTAATGAAAGTTACTTTTTACAGCTTTTATCCTATTCTGTTTGCACTGATCAGTTAAAAAAGTTAACACCATTGTGAGTCACCAAGCAACTTGCTGGAGTCCATGTAAAGAAATATACTCTACTTAATTATCTTAGCATCTCTGAAAGATCATACAAAAATTAGATTTTCAATTACCTTCAGACAAAGCAATGATATTTTGTGTTATCCTTGGAGTACTTGAGTGGATGAAGAATAGGGAAGTCAATAGTCATTAGTAACCATGTCATCCAATATTGAATCACTAGTTCAGTATTTAAATGTACCTCTGTTTGCTAAATTGTCTGCCTAACCATATGTATTTTGTAGGCTTCTACATTTTATTACTTGGCCACTAAAAAAAAGTTCCTATCAGGAATGTAAAAGAGGCTTTGCATATTTTTACAATGCCTAGAAACAGACTTTTACCAGAGTTCACAGACCTCAAAGTACTTAAGCACATGCTTAATTTTAATAATCCTATTCCAAATAAGACTCCGAATCAACAGCACCCTTAACTATGTACTGGACTCTAATAATATGTTTAAGTGCTTTGCTGAATTGAGGCCATAAAAGGGAAAAGAGGGTTACCAAGTTTTCATTTTTACAATTTTCTGATCTGTAGATGAGGAGCATCCTAAATATTCAGCACTACTAAATGTAAATGATTTCTCATTATTTCTATAGAAGAGATTACTCCAAACTAACAACTGAGAGTGAGGAAACATCTATTTGAACCAGCTTAGAATCTTGTTCTTCACTAACACCATGTCCACATATGAAATCTTGCAGTGCAAAACATACTTTTATTATGTACATAGAATGTGTGTGTCAGATCTTTAATTGGGGTAAAGCAATGTAGCTTCACTGAATTCAGTGGACAATGCTGATTCATTGCAGCTCAGGTTATAGCCCATAACATGTTTTAAAAATATAGAGTATATTACATGCAAGAATTGTAATATATGAAAGTGGCTGCTTTCAAGTATCAATAATATATGCTCTAATACATTAAGTCATCTATATAAAACATATGCTTTATACATATTTTATATATTTTTAGTATTCAGATTAATACAAAATTCTTAGCCAAATCTTAGATCCTCCACCTAAAAAGCTTCAAAACCATCTGCCTCAAATAATCTCAAAACTAATTCCATTCCTTATAGGTTTTTATACTATGTTCATCACAGTAGTATCTGAGCCCTTTTCAGTAGTACTGTATTAGGCAATGTGAATACATTTGTCATGTTTGTTCTCATATCCTTTCCCCAGAGAAAGAAGCATATGCAATGGAATGTGTTCTTGTTTTAAATTAGAGCATCCTTTGTCATGTGTTTTTATCTGAGAAGGCAAAGGCAAAGAAATGAGCCTGGCAGTTGGAATGGAAAGTGGTGAAAATGCTTAGTTTCTGGGGGACCTCATGCCCACAGTCTGGAATCAGCCACTGAAGAAAGTTCTGTCTCCCTGTCACACGATGCACATCCTCCAAGCCATTCTGGGTATCAGCACTGCCAGGCCAATGCCGCTTATCGTGCCTGCACTCCACCTCTCACGCAGCTGCAGTCCCTCTCTCCATCCATGAACCTCCAAATCATCTTTGACTTGGCCCTCCAGCCAGGTCCTCTTACAGGGGTAAGAAAGAGAAGAGGGAGGAATATATATCATGGTCACAGCTCACCAGCAGTCTCGGGCAGTTCTCCCATTCATGGTCCTAGGGTCCACTCTCTCAGTAGCTAGTAGGGGAACCCAGACCTATCTTCTACACATGGACATGTTCCAGCCAGGTACTATTTAAACAACAGCCCAGCTATGGTTCCCTCCTGCTCCTTGCTGCTTTTCCTCAGCCTCTTCCTTACCTCCTGGTCCTCCCCATTCCTCTGGGTTTGCCAGTGTCTCAGTTCCCTCCTCCCAGGGAATAGGCTCCATGGGCTACTTGACTCTATTATTCCAAAACAAATTTCCCTGTTCCCAGGGAGTCACTGCAGATCACCTTAATGCTGTCTCCTTTGCTTCTGAATTTCTGTCTTCATAGCAGCACTGCCTTTTTCCACACAGGTGAGCTTCCCTTAATTAGGGTTTCCCCCCAAGGTTTAATTCTTCCAGACTGAAGCCTCACTGGCTGATTGGTCTCACTTGACCCAATTTAGCTCTTGCACAGCTCATTCAGGGAGTATACCACATTACTGTTTGAAACAGACAAGCTTTACTCAAGTTTCAGTTCCTTTTCATCCATTCAGAAATTATCATCCTATTACCAATGGTCCTCCCCCGAACATGTGGTGGCATTACTGTTTTGTGGCAGAGAAGGTGAATGAGAAGTGCTAAATTAAAGTGGGCAATGTGACTATCTGGGCCTGTGCATGTTTGTGTTTATAAATATATTATGTATCACAGGGAAAGCTAAGGATTTTGCCATAGAATGGGTACATTTAATCCTCAAAGGCATCTAGATTTTAAAATGAATAGATCAGAAAACTGCAGGAGGATACAACCACTCAAAATAAATGCAAGTGTGGAATTATTTCATCCATAATGAAGCTTTCATGACAGAGGAGACATATAAGATATTCATATTTGAAAATGGTATCTTGAACAAAAAATAAATATAGTCATCAATATTTGAAGATTACTTCTCTGCTACCACTTCCATATTAACACAGAAATAAATAGGAATCACTACTTTTACTTAAGCAGACTTTGAATTAGACTCATAAGGACAGGTGGAAACAAAAACAGGAAAGGGATATAG